GGCGCCAGCATTCCTGGCTGTCTGTGTGGCCTCCTTCTCCATCTTTGAGAAGACCTCAGCAGAGGACCTGCAGCTGAAAGCATTCTCCCTTTCCCTGAGGGGATATGTGTCTTGGTTTAAGTCCTTTCCCAGGATTGTCAGGAGCCTGGTAAGCTATTAATTCCTGTAACGCTTGTGGCATCCTTCCCTGGCATGGGAGTACCTGTTGGTGCAAAGGGGCTGGAACTGTTTTGGTGCGGTGTTGAAGAGTACAGAGCACCCAAATAATGAAGTAACAGCTCACCTTTTTGAGATGTTAAACCACCAACACCTAATACATCATTTCCTTATCTTCCAGTTCCTCCTGTCCCTGTCCCTGATGGGTGTCCTGTCCGTCCTGAGTGCTGTGCTGCCTCCTCCCCGGAGCTTACCGGATTTATTCCCCTTAGCTGTGTCCATCGTTTCCTGCTTACACTTTTTAGCATTTCTGTTGTATTTTAACATTGTTATACTCTGGGACTCCAAGAATAGTAGAAGTCAGAAGAAAATGAGTTAACCTGTGAAGATGAAGGACTGAACTGTGAAGGACAGAGTTGGGTGAGCAGTGTCAGCGCTCCAGGTAAACCTGTCTGTGATGGATACAACTGCTGTACCCTAAGGGAAGTCAGGAAACATGTTTGGCTTATTGGAACCCAAACCAATCAAAGGCTGCTTTAAAGGAGAAGGATTTGGAAGAGCATTGGAAATGTGGTTTGGTGTGTTTTGCTTAGAAATGTCACACTTTTGTTACTGTTTGTAAACCTAAAATGCCTAATAAAGGACCAAATTTTGAATTAAGCCAAAATACCTCATATTTGCTGCATGAGCAAAAGTAGCATTGACACCTTTTAGTGCAGGTTCAGTAGAAACTCTGGACTGGCAGCTCTGTAGGTGCTTGATGAATTATTTGATGACACAAACTTGTGTCACCAGTCTTGGTTCTCCTGCAGTAACAGCTGAGGTGCTGCAGTGCAGTTTGAAAGCAGGAAAACCCCCAAACCCAGACCCACACCAACCTCCCCTTACTGCACAGCAGTTTGCAGATGTAAACTGAACTCAACTCTGCAGTTTCTCCCTGGGTGCAGCACAGCTACTGCCAATGACCCTGAGAATACAAATTGAGTAATTATATCAAAGCATGGAGTGAGGAAGTAAATCATAAAGCAGTGTAGGGGTGTGTAGTTTAATTAGGAGTCAGTCTGGCCTTTTCCTTCATTCTGCTCTGCCACTATATATATGTCTGTGTGTATGTATATGTATATATATATATA